AAATTCTGCAGGAAACGGCGGCCCAGCTGGACACTTCTACTCTATTAGCAACTCGTTGATAAATAGTCATGGATTGGAAATTTATGCTAATGGTGGTGCAGGAGGGCACGGGCAAGATGGTGGAAAAGGTATATACAGTAAAGTGGATCGATTTTGGTGAATTTGCGAATTTCATATATGGTTCGTTGCTGACATACATACATAGCTCCACTCAGCGCCTGTCCGGGCGCTCACGGCGCCCCTGTGCAAATTGTTTACATGCGCCCTTAAAATATTATTACTCAAAATTTTCGCAAAACGGGAAAATTTTTTATAGATAAATTCTGTTAACGTTCGAAAACTAGATTTTCCATCCGTTTGTTCTCAATTTCGTCAAAAGTGTCGTTAATATCTCGATAATATCGTATGACATTTGCTTTCATGCGTTTCATATACACCACCGCATTAAGCGATAGGCACACATAGGAAGAAACGAACGCAAGTGAGCATTGGAAGTATTCTGTTGGGTTGCTGTTTTTCATGTGTGCGATGGGACGTTGATTAAGTATCTCTTATTGCGGCGGTGTATATGAAACGCACGGAAGCAAATATGTATCTGCCTTGTGCGATAATTAAAAAAATATGTGTTTTGAACGCATTGAGAATTTTAAACATTGATGCGATTGAAATGAACAGAGCATTGAAGTTGCTGGCTATGTAGCGCTGCTGGTGAACAGATCTGTTCAACAGCAGCTATTGGTTGCATGCATATTCGCTATGACGCGCGCTTGTTCATTGAACGATTCTCACACATAGTGTTTTTCCCTTGCATTTACAAGGAAACAGACAGAGAAGCGTATACAACAGATTCCGAGAGAGATTTTTATCTTGTTCATTTACCGTTATTTGTCAACCAGTCTGCCTATATCAACATATTGCTACTGTACATAGTATACAGTCTATAAGAAATGTAAAATGTTGGCCATTTAGTTTTACATTGCCAATGCATAACTTATGGGGATATTTGTTTTGTTTATTTTTTGTTGTTTGTAAACAAATCTGAATATCTTTTTGCATTGTCTCTGTGTAAGTTTTCCCAAAAAAAAATTAAAAAATAAAATATTGACTATTTTTTGATGTTTTCTATGAATGTCATTTTCAGAGCGTTAAGTTTGACAGATACCATTATTGACGTTGAAAGGTCGCGTTCAATGTCGGTATTGGTCGATGAAATGTACTAAACACGTGATTGTGTATTACGATTATGAGTTGTATGGAAAAAAAATTCACTTTCAATTGAAAATGTGAGATTTGATGTCTACAAAGAGACAAAAGAATGATTTGTCATTCATTTAGATCGCTCACCACGGGTCTGGCTGGATCCCTATATATTTGTATGCATTTGTATGAGTATAAGGTATTCATGCTATCTCATTTTTCACGAGACTGATAAAAGATAAGTGATATCTGTCTCCAGCAAAGTTGTAGAGCAGGTCAAATACTACAATTTTCGACATCTTTTTATCTCTTAAAAAACGAAAAAGGTCTGGCCAGACCCGGGTGAGCGATTGAGGGTTGAGTTCGATGTTCATTTTTTCAAAAATGGTATTTGATTTGTTCCAGGAGGCGATGGCCTAAATGCTAGGGGGATTTAACTACGTGAAAACTTGTAAAAAAATGATATAAACGCGCACGAAATTGTTACATTCACCAGAGAACTTGCATGATTCCACTCAGTTGACAAGTTCCGTATTAAAACAACATGCGCGAACGCGCGCGAGTTCGTGTGCAAACTTGTAGCTGGACGACGCGCACACATCAGTCGTTCCATTTATTATATCTGGATTAACTTTTTCTTCAACACTTTCTCCAGCTCTTTAAAAATATTTCCTTTGTCCATTTTATAATTATATAAATCTTTGAACTTTTGGAAAGGATGTGAAAAATCTTTATACACGTAAACAACCGATTTTTAGCTTGAAACGCGTTTTAATTGTCAAATAACAACTTGAAAAACGCGCAAAACCATAAACAAACTTGTGTAAACTTGTGACCGTGCGCGTCAGTACGTACAAGGAACGCGTCGAACTCCCGCGAATCAAGCAAACTGGCAAAAAACATGCTGAACTCGTAAGAGTTAAATTCCCCTAGCCTAAATGGTATTTCTCCAGATTTTTACGGTATATCGACTGGCCTTGATTCAAGTTGTCAATTGTGGAAAGCAGCAGGCTTTGCCCCGGAGTGTGAATTAACTAGGACAGATAGATTTCCTGAATGTATAATGTATACATATAAATGTGAAGTAGAACCAAAAAGATTCGTAAAACCTGGAAATGGTGGGAATGGTGGACATGGAGGCTCAGCAGGCCCTAATGGCGAAGTTTCCATTATCACTTTGAAACAAAAACAAAACCAGACTGCAATCCAATCAATTAAGATACAAAACATACCAGGTAAAACAATCTGACGAGTGTCAAATGACATGTTCAAGAAATAACAAAGTTGGCTAATCTCAAAGCAAACCTCGTAATAAGTTTTGATGGAACCATTAATAACAAAGTTACCAGTATTTTACTTCAAATACTGTTAAGTCTAAGTTATTCTGAACAACAATTCCATGCGGTAGAGCTGCTGTAATTGATATTACATAAAATTTAAAATAATAAAAAAATAGATATTTCATTACGCGATCATTTAATCTATTTTCTGACTCAGGCACACCCGGGCATGGAGGACAAGCTGGAAAGCCTGGATCAAAGGGAGAAATAGAAGGTGGAAATATAATTAGGGTAAAATTCGACCAAACAATACAACCATTTAACAGATCAGAAAAGAGTACTTTGAATGGAACTACGCCTGTCCCATCCATCAGAGCATACAGTGGAAGAAATGGAAATGTTGGCACTAGCCCAGGAAAACCCACAACTTTAATCAAAATGAATGATTCGATAAATAAATATAAAAGTTATGTTCACGAAAATTTAGAAAAGATATACTTTAGTAAATCCGACATAAATGACTTTATGTACAATTTGAAACATAGACAGTCATAGGTTAGCATAGCTTCTGATGAGGGTCCGCAGGGTCCGTATTACACCCCCCTTGAGTGCGCTAAATAAATTACCCCCCTCTGATTTTAGAAAAAATCTGTTTACTCCACTAAAAATTTGTCTCTGATTAAATTAACCTTCAAACCGTGAAACCTATTTTCTAACGTTGTTCGTAAGAACGTTCACGTGCACCGGTGCCTGAGTGCCCATAATGCATTTTAAGGGGAAATGTCAGCTTTTTCTTGAGTTTTTATTTTTAAATGTAAATATTTCAGTATTTATTGATCGGAAAAGTATGAAAATCATTTTGAAATGTGATAAAAGTCATAAAAAATCGAAATATGAAGGACAACAGAAAGTTTTTTGAAATTTTTTTAATAAAATGGAGATTGCAATGTTGATCTCTTCACAAAAATGAAGGCAAAAACATATACATACAAATTCCACTATGGCCGATTTTGACGTCAAAAATTGAGATTTTGAACGGCAGGTTGGATCAAAAAGTTTTGTATATCACTAGAAAGGTCTTTTTGAAATCACATATAATGATGTAATATTTCACATAACTAATTTTGAAGTGTGTAAAAGTATACAAATAATATACAAAATAATACATATGTTCTTTTATACTTAAGATCAAAAATCAATTTGATTTTGTTCCGCAATTTTCCTTACAAAAATTAGATTTTACCTATTCAATTTTATGGAAAACATTTGAAATTACCCCCCTTCATTTTTATTGAAATTTGAAAATTTACCCCCTCCTCGGCGCGCGGTCGTCAGAAGCTATGGAGGTTAGACATATTCATATATGATCACTACTGTATTATGTCCTTATAAGAAACGAGTCAATGAAATGTTTTACTTACCATGGCCATACACGTACAGCTGTCAAAAATCGGTATTTTATTAATATGTTAATAAACAACATATTTTAATAATTAATAAAAATTTTGAAACACCATATTTATTAACGTTAATAAATATAGTGCATTTTATTAACATATTAATAATTATTAGTATGGTAAATTTTCGGTTATTAATATGGTGTAGATTTTATTAAAATGTTAATAAAATGTGGTTATTAATATGGTGCCGATTTTATTAGAATTCTAATAAAATGGACAACATATTAATAACCACATTTTATTAACATTTTAATAAAATCGACAATTTTTTCGGCAATCATATTAATAACTACATTTTATTAAAATTCTAATAAATTCGACAACATATTGGATTTCATCCGATTTTATCAACGGACGACATCATGTTCGCATCAAAGTCTATTCAATACAGTGTTTAGATTAAGACAATCATTTATCACGACAAAATCTTTTCAAAAAAAATTCCGAAGAAAAGTTTCATACAAAAAAACTGTCAAATATTTCCAGACTCATTTTACATCGAGATTTTGTCGTCTGGCAAAAACTGACATGAATTTTATATGAAACTTTTCAAAAAAATTGTGAAGAAAAGTTTCATACAAAAAACATGTCGAATATTTCCAGACTCGTTTTTCTTTCAGATTTTGTCGTGATAAATGATTGTCTTAATCTAAACGCTGTGTTGAATAGACTTTGATGTGAACATGATGTCGTCCGTTGATAAAATCGGATGAAATCCAATATGTTGTCGAATTTATTAGAATTCTAATAAAATCGGCACCATATTAATAACCACATTTTATTAAAATTCTAATAAAAAAAATTGTCGATTTTATTAAAATTCTAATAAAATATCGTTATTAACATTTTAATAAAATCTACACCATTTTAATAACCGAAAATTTACCATACTAATAATTATTAATATGTTAATAAAAAAATATGTTAATAAATTATTAATATGTTAATAAAGTGACAGCTGTACATACACGGCCAAAGTGTACTGGATTTGATATTGTGTTTTAAGAGTTAATAAAGTTATAATCATATTAATACCCAAACCAAGTGAAAAACAACAAAATACTAAATCTCAAAAATCAAGAAACTGAAGACAAAATGTACAAATGTAATTAATGTAAATACAAGCAATTTTTGGTTCCTCACAGGTATCTATAGGACTGGTCCAAATGTAAAATTATATAGCAATTAGTCATAATATTTACTCAAACAATGTAAAATATTTTGAAAAAATCAGGTTTTTACGGAGACGAATGTGCTCTTTTCGCCTGTAACCACAAAGATTGAATTGAATGGAATAAATAAAAAAAACAAATTGGCACATGTTGAGAGAAAATAGTAATGAAAGTCCTCCTTAATATGTATTTTCGTACGTGCCGTTTATTCGAGGGGCAAATCACTCAAAATAGTAATTGCAAAATTTAGCAGTAATTGCACGAGAAAAAAGTAATTGCATAGGTAATTGCTACGAAAAAAGTAGTTGCGAAAATAATTGTTGATTAACAATTACTACATTTTTCTTGAAATTACCAATGCAATTACTTCTTTTTATTGCAATTACTTTTGAGTGATCTGCCCCTCGCTTTTATTTCATGACTCAAAATTCTAAGAGACACACATCAGTTATGCCAGGTGATGCTTGGTGGCGTTTCAATTCGATCAAATTGAAATCGGTTTTTGTTTTGGCCCACTTGGTTGCTAAGAAAATTTTCTCCGGAACATAAATCGTCGTCTTACATCCTCCGGCCAATTTAGCGCGTTCTTTATTCAGCGCAAGTAAATTAAGAATGGTTTCTTCATCTGCATCATCAAATCCACCGATGCGAAAATGTTTTAATTTCGGTAAGTAGCTGGTGAACGATGCAATAGCATTCGGACCGCATTCCACAATATACAACCATTCAATATTTCGAACTTTTTCCAAATATTTTGGATTTCCACAATGAAAAACTGTCAACTCTTTGAAATGTGGCAGTGGATGTGGGAAGTCCATGCATCTATCTGAAGTCAACTGTTCTAGTCCAACATTCATGAGTCCATCTCCATAATTACTAGCCCATCTCTCATTAGAACAATTATCGATGCATATATGCAAACGCTTATACAATCCTTTCTGATGGACTCGTGCCAATTTCACCAAGTAATCTTCGCCATCGGAACAAATTTGTTTTATATAATAGCGAATGCGCAATTGATCGAATGTGATGTCGATATCAGTTAAAAAAGGTGCTTCATAACACGTCTCCCAGATGCTCTGTACATTCATATTCAAACGGAAGAAGGTTTTAAGTTTTTCAATTTCACTTGGCGATCGCATTAAATTTCGTCCATTGAATATGATGTGTTCAAGCGTTTGATACTCACGAAGCAACCAATCATTTGAACTACCAATTAAAATGTCTTGGCCGCTCACATCGACAGTTAGACACTTTAAATTTTTGCAATGTTTTAGAAAAACTTCATAGAAATCGCAACTAATTTCCCATTTGACTATGGCAATTCTTTCGACATTGTTGAGCGCTGTTTTTATGTCCTCAAATTGATATTGATCATTTTTTCGTACGGCCACTCCAAGATTCTTGATCAACTTGATGGTAGTAATGTCCATTCGGCGAAACATATCAAAGCTCCGTGCGTCACATATTTGAAATTCTGCAAATTTCGGCCAGTTGGTTTTGATGTAATGGTCGACACTTCCTTTCAATCGCTTACACGTTTGACGAAGTAGCAACAGATCGGCTTGTGACAACCATTCAAAAAGCTCTTCCAAACAATCAATGTCCAACTTAAGTAATTCCAATACTGGTCCAACAGTCCATGGCTGATGCAACAGGTCCAGTTTCAGATCAATCTCTTCTGTAGCTAATTTAAGTGCCAATCTAGGCTTTTTGAATTCCGTGGATATTTTTGAACCACCTCCCTCTCCACTCATTTTGATGACACGTCAAAGAAGAGTAGCATTAACGGATGATATTGAACCTGTTAAATAGAATTGAGTATTTAAATGGACCCATTTGGATAGAACCAATGTATAACACACAGTTACTTACACAGTTGTTCCAAATCGATTGACAATCTAATCGAAAGTAAGGATTCGGACTATTTGTTTTTAAGATAGTCACTTTCGGTATTTCGTTGAATTATTTTATTATCAACATTTATCTCTTTCGCAAACACTATGTGCGCAAATAGTGTGTGCGTAGTCACATATGGATTTGCAAGATTATAGCGATAATTCCAGCTATGAAGATTGTATATACGTGGAATATATATACGTGCTAGACAACAATCGAAAACTGTATCTGTATTTGCAGGTTTTAGAAAAAAAAATTTTTGTTATAATGATTCCACTTAGAGATCGGCGATGAAAAACTGGCCAGAAGACAACGTTAAATTTATCATTGCGCTATTGTATAGCGATAATTACAATTACAAACAAAGCTTTATGAAGTTCTTTTAATAATTTACTATTCATTTATACTCTTAATTAATCAAGAAGTATCGTTTTTATTCACTGAACTTCTCGTTATGTTCGTGAAACGTGGAACAATTGACAGAACATGCTTAAAAATTGAATGAATTTCTACTTTGTATAAATTCAATGTTGTTTATTTCACAGCAAAATTGCACTTCGTAAAAGATGTTCAGTATTGCTGTCAAAAGCAACGCGTCAACTTGACAAATAAACAGCTGATTAGATATTCGACAACTCGAATAAAATTGTTGTATGATTCAAATTCAAATTCTATATAATAATGCTGTTATTACGAAACCAGTGGTTTCAAACCACTGAATAGTTTTGCATGCCTTTTTGGAAACAAATGTAGGGAATCGAACCAGCTTTCATTTGATACCTTACTCGTTACAATTTATCAGCTGTATCGAAAGTTTTTCATATTCATGTACTGCTGTACCTTACTTCCAACATTCTTGTGATCAGTATATCTCTGAGGCATATATACATCATATGAAGAGTATTCTGAAAATAAATAAAAATACACGCGTATGTTTTTTCTTAATTCAGCAAAATCCTTTTATTACTATCATTTGATTTATTTACACTGCTTCAAGTCGATACGAAATTAATTTTGCTTTTATTTATCTGCAATGTTATTGACTTTTCCTTTTTTCATTTCATTAATTTTGAACGGTACCTGAGCTTTGTGCGCATTCAATACAATTTTTATGTTATCTACAAATAACTTAAAACATATTCCGACATATCGGGCATGTTGATTTATTGCTTGTGTTGAACCACTTGTACTGTAAAAACAAAGGGAAAAAAGAATGATAATGGGTTAGATGATTCATGGTACGTGTAAGTAGAGATAGTTGCAGGGAATTTTTCATAATTCAAAAACAAACGCTTACCAAACATTGGCCGTGAAATTTCTTTTTACACGTTTTGCATGTGAGTTTCGGCAATTGGCAAGTCTCTTGATGAATAACACTGTAGCAAACGTAACATTCCTCTACACCATCAAATTTCCGATCAAGATTTCTCTTCCACAACGATAGACCATCCCAAATGGAACCGTTTTGATGTGTTAAAAAGATAGACAATTGCATGACAACCACTCGAGACTGGAGTTTATCGCCGATTTGTTGACCGCAATTGACTTTTACAACGCCAAGTGGGAAATTCAAAGGCAACTGAATAACTAATTCCATGCGAGCCTCATCGATGACATATGTTGCATGCACTTCGCGTGTTGATGTGTGCACAGCAATTTGAAATGAATCATTTTGTTTCTCCTTTTTATCCAACAATGCACGCAATTCATCGTTGCACAGTTGTGTTGAAACGAATGCAGTGGTAATTTTGTCGACCAGTGACTTTTGACGAGGATGTGAATTAGTCCACCAATGACGAACCACTGCCGGCAAATATTTCAGTGCCAATGTGTACAGATAGCATGCGTACCGTTTGGGTGTAATTTCATCGTTGACAATTTGCTGCCAAGTGATTGGCGCAAAATAAGCTGATCCAGCGGCTTTGACCTCTTGGCTGCGCAACACTTCGGCTGGCATCATTCGGAAGAGCATTTCCAAAAATGTTTGATCGAATTTCTCTTCCACCAAATAAGCAGCGTATGTGGATCGTAGTTCAGATGGTGCAGCATCACAGATGGTGAGGACACAGTGCCAAAGCAACAGGAATGGTGTCGACTTTTCCGGCGGAATTTCACTGAAATCGTCCAATTCGGTGGATTTGAAGCTAGGAAACAAAAAAGTTCAATTCAATTAGATTACAATTTGATTGAAGAAACATTTGCGAATTCTTCCAGATGTGATCAAAACAGAAAAGATTTCCTAATCGAATGTTGAATGAAATTCGGTTTGAGTTATTTCTCTTACTTAAATTCCTCGATGAATTGTTGCGTCCACTCATTTTGATTGGCCAATACACTGTGGAACTTTTGTAGAAAATGCCATTCCACAGAATCGGTTGAATCGTCGAGAGTTTGTTTATCTTGCCGTTTGCTTAGCTGCTCGGTATCCGTCTGAATAAGATATTTTGATATTCTTTCGATGATTTTGGCGCATGTCACTCGAACCGTGTGGTATTCGTGTGATAAATTGATCAAAGCAAATTGTATCAGGTCATCGATACTGGTCTTTGAATCGATTTTATGGGCCACCTCAACGTGTTTAAAGTCCACTTGATTTATTGAATGGCTCAACATTTTCAAGAAATACTCCTGACGATTGTCGCTGGCCGGTGCTGAAATTTAAAATTAACATTTGATTCGTCAAAAAAATTCACCATTTTGGAAGGAATATCACGTGATGAACGCTTACCATTTGCTTGAATGAATCTCATGAAGCATTTCAATAAAATCAGATTTACATCTTTGGCAAAAACGTGCTCCCATTCATCAATCACTTGGGCCACAGTTCTTGTGGAACTCTTGATACGTTCTTCGGCGATAAATTCATAAAAAACTTCAAACATTTTGTAAATTGCTGATGTGAATACGGCGATCTGAAATGAATCATTTAATTAGCTTATAGTTTTTTTAATTTATTTCTTTTCTCTTTCAATTCACCTTTGGATTCTTCCAACTGTCACTGCTCTTCGATAATGTTAAAACCCATGAGCTGATAGCGATTCGAATAAAATCCCAGCCTTTCTCTGTGATGTTTCCAGGGAATGTTTGAATCACATCGGTTAGAAATCGAACGAACTCGGTGATTTGAAGGATTTTTTCAGTGTCAATTGTCGAAATGTTTCTAATTAAATGGAGTGATTAAGATAAAAATTAATTTCTACTCGCTGCTTATGACTTTCTTAATACCAAATCAAGAGACTTACTCATTATAAAGCAAAAATTCCTTATTAGTTTTCGATTGTACGTAAAGTTCTTCAACAAGATTTAGGCATTCGTTAACGATTTGCTGATCGCCCATTTCGTTATTATTCGTCGTAAAGTAATTCTTCAAGAGACATCGCAGACCAATGGCTCTTTGATGCGGTTCAACTGAACTACCGAATATATTCGCACTCATCGACAATTGTCGAGGTGACAATTTCTGTGTGTACGCTAACAACACATTGATGTATTGCTGTAAGTTTTCCGTTCCATTGCAAACTTTGGTAAGATCATTGTGAAGTAAGGCGAGGCAATTCTCTTGATCCTTGTATGGTCCAATCTCTTGAAGCAGTAAAGTGCTGTTCACTGAAAATGGATCGTCGAGTCGTTCGGCATTGATCCAGTGTTTTACAATAATGTCAACATTCTCCTCCGAAATGTGAGTCAAAAACAGTCGAATCGTTTCTTGGAAGTGTAGAATAAACTCTTCAAATGTCGATGACAACTGAAATGGGAATGAAAAACGCGTAAACAATAATGAGTCAGAGCAGTTGACCTGATGAAATTATCACAGCAAATGAAATATTTACATTGAAATTCTCCAGAAAACTGTTAAATAATCCACCCAAGTAAATGGCTCCATGAATTTCGTCATAAATTTTACTGGACCATTTTTTCATCAATGATTCATTCAAATCGAAAAAGTCTTCGGTATGTTCTTCATCTAAGGGCTTTTCCGTATCGATTTCGTCATCTTCATTTTCGCTTTCGCTGTTTTTGCGGCTCTTGGGAACAGTGCACGTGATCTTGAAAACCGCTCTGAATTTGAATGTGGCGAGTTTAAGCAAAGCGTTGGCATTTTTATACACATCAAGTACACCCAAATCGTTGTTCAAGTGCGGCAAAATGGTTGACACTGCAGTCATGTGGCCGTTTAACAATTCGATAAATGTACACGCCTGTAGGCAGCCATTCAAATACTCATTGTACTGAGCATTGATCTTGGAGAACACACATTCAATGATTTTATCGGCATTTTGATATTTTTGCTCGTCATCATCATCGAAACGTTCCACCGAGCACAAAATCAACTTTGATAATATCTCTGAAATCGATTCAATATGATTGATTGTAATGGTTTGATCTTGTATAGCGGCTTCCAAGCTATCCTTGATTATTCCAGCACACGTCTCGAGTAATTCGTCCGTCAGTTCAATGTCATTGCTCGAGAGTGCGTCTTGCCATGATGTAACCGCCTCCCACAGTGTGTCTTCATTTAGCATGGCCAGGCGACCCTTGTCAACGCACAATCCAAATAGTTTCACAAACATAATATCGCGAATTTTTCCCTTTTGCTCGTCACCACAAATGACCGGCATCACTTGTGACAGAAAACTAACGCATGTATCCAGAACATTATCGCTCACATTCTTATCGGCCAATGCGTTGCATAGAATTTCAATGATGCTTTCGCAGGTTTTGTTGTCAATCAAAATATCACCACTTTCCGTTTGGAAAAAGCACTTGTGCATCAAATTGATGGCCTCGGTGGCATGGCCGGTGGTCAGTTCTTGAGCGTTCTTGATGACCTGCGCGGTTACAATCGGTTGCGATAGCATTCGCAGCACTTCCGGTTCAGTGCATAATGGGTGGCCCAATAATCGTGATAGTGTCCAATTTTTGACACTTTCATTCGGGAATTTCACCAATTTATTCAATAGCTTGGATTTTTCGTTTACATCCAAATGTGGGTACAACTTTAAAGTAATATCAAGCACGCTTTCCGAACGAATTTCCTTGAGCAGTAACCAACTGGCGAATTTATCATACAATTTCGGTATATTCGCTGTTGAGCCACAAAGTTGTTCGAAGAATGTGGTGGTGCTACCAAATTCAGCGAAAAGATTCTCCAACGGTCGTACAAACTGATCGCTAACACTATCCGATGTCTTTTTTATATAAAATTTAGACAATTTTACAATTAATTCGTTAATTTCGTCTTTGAAAAATGTGGTCGCTTGAGTTGTGTCTTTTTTTGCAATGCCATCAACGTGATCGTTGGTCTCGGCTTCCGGATCGATTTCGAATTTAACTTTGGAAGATTTCGTTTTATTCGCATTGCCTGATTTTGATCGCAATGATTGCACCAAATCGTGGATTAACTCAAGCTTTTGCCGAAGATATTGATCTTCGTCGGTTTTGCCGAATGAATTTTCAATTGTTGAATAGAGTTCACCCCAAAATCGTGTCAACAAAGGGCTATAAATTTGATTTGTGTCTCTGGTCTGATTCCAAAATTGAATCAACTCCACCATACGTATCAAAACGTATTTTCCATTATTGGATGCAGCATTCACCAATAGGTAACTGATAACGTTGATCACATGCTCTTGCAATAAATTCAAACTGAATTGACTGGCGTCGGTGCCATCGTCAAACGCTTCGGATGGAAAGCCTTGAACTTGAATCACAATGTACTGTAGGCATTCATAGTATGCATTCGATATGGCCGTTATGTCCGATCGACTGTTTGCTTGATAGGCCAAACGTGCGCGCAGTCCCACATTGAGATACTCAAAGAAATTGCCGTAGAACGTAAATACCTTTTCGCCAAGAATATCACGATTCAATTTCGATAACAATGGCAAAAAGTGCGGATAAATCGTTTCAGCACTTCCAGCACCGCCACTCTTCAATATCTTCCACAGTTTTGGCAACAACGCTTTTTCTAGATTGATGTAGTTAGGCCTGTAGCACGACAAAAGAGAGATTTTTGTTCATTAAAAACTTTCAAATAGATTGAATAAATTCTGAGTTGTTATTATTTACCATTCGGTGATTCGTTGCATAACTAATAGAACGGCCGTCCAAATATGTGGCAACACAACTGTTTCAGTCTCATCGATACTTTGTAAGGCAGCTACCGCCAATTGCTTTTCGAATTTGGTCAAGTCCACACTTGATTGCAGCAATACACTGACCGTTTCGAACCAGGCGGCTCGAATGGCGGGATTCTTGTGTTTTTGGTAAGACCAAAACTTTTGATTCTCAATTAAAGCCGTATTTTTATTGGAAGCCTCTTTCATATCTTCGGCCGAAATTTTCGATAAATACAAAGCATATCCCTTCAAACTACAAATCAATACACGCTGATACTTTGCTTCACATTCTTCGGGCGTATTCGATCTGAATGGAAATGCGATGACAACGAAAATATTAAGTACCCAATGACACTTTAATGAAGAACACTTGAACGGAAGAATGAAAGCATTGAATTAAAACTTACTGTGGATTCGACAACGATGTCGCTGTGTAAATGGTTAAATTCTTGGTGATGTAGTCGAGTATTTCATTTTGGCAAAAATTGAACACATCTTGCAGCTTATGGGCGGGGAAGGATTTTTGAAAACATTGTGTTGCAATACTTGCAGCTGGTGCATATGTATCATATTGGCTGGTGATCCAAGCGGGTGCAATTTGCTTCAAATATGGTGCAATATTTTTGCCCGCCTGTGTCATTAATGCGGCTTGTGCTTGTTGGGCTGCCTCACGTACGCGATGCTCAACATCGGTCGATAGGTTGTTGTACAATCGTGGCCAAAATGGTAAAATCGTTCTGATGATATTCGGTTCGGTCTTCAGAATCAGTTCACTGAACTCCTGCAGCGCTTTAACCTTGGTAACTGGATCTTTTTTGGTCATTTTCCGAAACACTAGCTGATAATTTGTATCCAATGATGAGTCCATGTCCTCGATGCCATTTCCACTGTCTGTTGCGTTCGTAAAATCTTGTAACATTGTGGGCAAAAATCCAAACTGTGTCACATTTGCAAAGCCAACGGTCGTTGGTATGGTCGATGATGCTAACAATTCAGCTGATCGGCCACTGCTCGATGGCTAACAGAGATGTAGGAAAAACAGAGAAATAGAGAGAAGACGAATAATACATTGTGCATGCGTGTACAAATATTTCCATTTGGGTACGTGCAAAACAATCCAAAATTGTATGCACTGATTCACGCCAATAATATTGTTATTTATTTACCTTTGTATTATTTTTCGTACGCTGTTGATGCTTCGTCTTGCCACCCATTTTCGAAACGGTATATATTGCGTCGTTCACCTTTCAATTCACTTTAAAAATGGGAACCTAATTCAGATTAAGTTACTTTTATTGTAATATTTACAAAGAAAAATGGCAGATGTACATCGAGGCCTGATATTTCGCTATACACTAGCGTAGTGACGTTCGATGCGACTCAGCTAACGTTGTGTTCACATTAGCGATGCGCTGTGATTCTGACAGTTGTTGTCAAAAATCGTCGCCATACCACCACAACGCGGAGAAAGAGAGAGAGAGTGAGAAAGATTTGGCAATTGTTTACGTATATCTATCATTTTGTTTTCTTTGTAAATTGCTTGACTTTTCTTTTTTGTCAAATGTGCAGGACAGACAACAAACCAAATCGTCGTTACTATTTTTAGTGAAATTGAAAAAAAAACTTTGTTTTCTCGATTCAAAGTGTATTTTATTCAATAATATCGCTCCTGTTCATCACACTACGCTCAACGGCCAAATATACTTCAAGAATTCAGGCATAATACATTTTGAATTGAGGTACAAGCTTTCGAACAGACAAACACTCACTTACACTCACACACACACACACAGATACACACATGCAATGGCACGCGAACAGCATCATAAACACACAATATTGTCCAATTAAAGAAAATTTCTTTCACTGTGCTCGTGCATGAAACGCTAGCACTCTATAGTTTTTCGCATTTAAAATACACACTCTATATACGCAGTATAAAAGTTATATAGAACAAAGGTTTAGGCTAATGAAAAAGAAAAGCAAAGCAAAGCAAAATAATATTGAATGTGTTGTTCAAAACTTTGCTGGTGGTTAAATGTTCGAACGAGTCAGTAGTTGTTGTGTTTTTTTTTCTCCATAGAAAAAAAATTCCACTAATAATTGTGTGCAGAATTCTTCCGTGAAAATAAGAAGTGATTTATTTTTTTTTTCATTTGAGATAAACAAAAATTAAAAATTGAAATAAAAATATTTGTTGTTGTTATTGTTGAACTGCGTGAATTTTACGGGGGGGACAAAATATTTTTTTTTAATTTTGTTTTTTAATCAATAAATAAAAAGCGTCGCAACGAAAGTTGAGCCAAAATGAACAAAAATTTGGAAAATATTTGTCGTGTGTGTTTGAACAGTGCATCTCGAAATATTTTCGAGAAATCGTCTGCATCGAATGATTCTCAATTCTCGATCCCTGCAATTGGTGAAAATGTTTCGTCGTTAGATCGTTTGGTCGAAAAACTTCGATATGTTACAATGCTAAAAGTAAGTTGAAAGAAAATTCCATTTTCCCGTCCATTCATTCAATTTAGCACACATTTCTCACTGAAAATCATCCGTAGCGTTTGTGTGGTTTTGTTTTTTTCTCTTGTCTTTTCATATTTTGGTAAAGGTTTTTTTTAAGCGCTTTCTTTTTTTTTGTGTAATTCGCCGTTGTGGTTGCTTTCGCTATAAAAAAAAAGAAGAAGAAACACACAAAGCGACGAAACGAAAAGAAATTGGATCAAGGCTTCGTGTGTTTGCGTCTGTGTTTCTACTTGGTGTTTTTCGATTGTGTGTAGGCAATATGTATACGACGGTATGTGCGTTCGCTTATTATGCGCAATGCTCATTAGGGGTATTAATGTAGTTGTGTGTACACTTTGGCACTGAGGCATACTACCAAAATAACGATCCAATGCTACCGAGTGGCTGACACGATGGTTCGCGACGTAAAATTGGAAAAAGGTGGAGAAAAAAAAAGAAAAAAACACCAAGCACCATACACACTGACATGAGTTACATGAAACTGTTGCTTCTTTTCACATCACACAATTCGATGAATACACACAGTGAGTGTATCTAGTAAAGCTGGTGGCGATCCGCATCGTTGAAGCAACGAGATGATGATGATGATGTCGCAACATCGGTTGTTGAACCAAGTCATTTAAAAGCGTATAGTCAGACAAGAAAGCTCCGTTAGTTGCCATCAAAGGGGTGATCATACAACGCTCAGTTCAACTTGATTGCATAGCATGAGCAAAACGATCAACGCACAAACCTGTTGCGGCCCCTCGTTTTCAATGGCATCAAAGTACGGAGCTTGCATGATTCCTAAATCAAGATCAAACTAATTCATTTTGTTTTCGATTTTTTCTTCTTCTCCTTTTGTTGTTGTTTTCGTTGCATTCATTCATTCATTGCGTTCGTTTGATTGTTTGTTTTATTAATGTATACTCTTTTTTATGATTTAACAACCAACAGGTGGACGAATGTGAAAATCTACCGAAGAATATGTGCGATTCGTGCATCATTCAATTGAATGTTGCGTACAATTTAAAGAAAAATGCAATTCAATCGGACATGAAATTGAGACAATATATGATTGAGTTTGGAATAAATGTCACGTCATATACAACATGCAGCATAAATACAGTGTCGGTCATTCATCCACCAGCTATGATTATGCCAGCAACAACAACGTCTGAATCGGTGACGATAACAACGGCAAAATCAACAACAGTTGCACCACAACAGGGACCACCACCACCAGCAGCAGCAGCAGTACAGCCTCAGCCACATCAGCTACCGCAACAACATCGAACATTTCCCGTGATGCCAGTTATCATTAAGGAAGAGCCCGTCGACTATGAAGCTATGTCCGATATTACAGTGGAAACAAACACCGAAGCATTCGAAGATCAAATGCGACACCAGAGAAACCAGGGCAATCGAACAAATGGAAATCAGAGTGCGGCCAGCACAAGCTCATCGAGCAACAAATCGGTTACACCGTTGCCAGTTCACAATGGAGTTCATTCCATGGTGTCTGTTAACACTAAATCGCTAATGTTGTCACCACAAGCTTCATCCGACCGTGAATTTCTAAGTGCTTACATGTTGACGACACCGTCGGCGAATGTTGAGCAAGCGAAAAAAACGACAACACAACCGAAACCACCGGCGACCAAGCAAAAGAGCCCGGAGACGCTATCAAAAGCAGCACCAAAATCAAAACGGCCAAACGAGTCACCACCTCAGAATGCCAACAAAGCACCCGTTAAACGTAATAGACGATGCGAACTTGACAACCTTAACGACGACAGTACGATTCGGATGATAAAAGCGACAAAGCTGGAGAACAACAGCCCACGACGGCAAACCAGACAACAACTTCGTGAAACACATGATAATGAAAATAAACGGCCACCGTCACGTTCTAGAAGTGGAACAAAAACCGATTACAAATCATTTTTCACGTCACGAAGTGCAACGCCGGTAACAAACGGTACACCAACGAAACTGAGGCGTCGCATGAGCATTGACGGTGCGGTCAAGCGAAAAGGTCGATCACCAATCAACATCCGAACGCCAAGCAAAAACAAACACATGGCGGCGATCGTACGCAAAAGGCGCAGTTCGATGGCTCACAATCGAACGAGCATTTGAAAGTTCTGTAGCTGTTGTTCTCATTCCGATGAACCAATATTGAAACGAATACGAAGACGCAAAAAGTACATAATTTAGAGGATAAAAACTGGAAGAAGAAAAAACACACACACACTAATTTATGAAAGAAACTATCAAGAGGAAGAAGAAAAAGAACGGATACGTTTGCAACGCATGCAAATGAACTATGTAAACCCATATAGCTAGTAATCCATGTAGCTATTGCTGAAGGAACACTCACTTAACGAGCACAAGTTACAACAAACAATATGATCAAAATACACACAGCAAATCCTAAGTTTTAAACCATAACCTCCCGTAGCCAATAAAAACAGCATGAGATCTTTATGTACAGCTATACGTACAATAAACAGAAGATCAGCACCTAATTTAATTTAATTTAAAAAAGAAAAACAAGCTAATCTGAAATGATCAAACATTGATAATTATCAAACGAACGGAAAATACTCTAGTAAAAATGAGCTAAAATGGAATGGAAACTGTGTGTGCATAAGCGAGGCACAGAAGGAGAGGAAATGAATATTATCAGTAAATAATGAATGAAACGTCAAGTTTTCCAATGAATGGCCAATTTTAAGAAGAAGAAAAAAAAACGGGCTTTTGAATGTTAAGCACACAGTCCAAACGAAAGAGAAAAAGCTTCCCCCAATTTTAATTTTATAACAAACGGAAATTATATGAAATTGTTTACAGTTCAAATATATATACGGTAGTTATAATTTTAGTTTAGTTGCATAAATGAAAGAAAAAAATGCGCATTGGTACTTTGTTCGAATCCACAAACGCCAAAATCAAGTTGAGAGAAAATATTTTATTGAAATTTTGTTCAATTTGTTGTAACCACATGCGCCCGATCAGTATACAAATTCACTCTCTCAATCCTTGCACGTAGACACACCACAAACCGATGATGATGATGTACCTAAATTTAATGATGGAATAAAGTCGCAATACCCGAACGAAACTGTTGCACTTATGTCAATAATCAAGTCCGACGTTGTTTTCTTTGTACCGATTTGTATTTGTACTCGTTTTATTTTTCTAAAATTATTATAGGAATGAACAAGAAACCGCAGGTATTTTTTATTGGAAAAATACGCTTTTTCCGCTGGTTTATTGAAATTAATACAATTCTTTCTTCATCTATCATTGTTGTGTGTTTCCTTAAAAAATCTATGCCATATTTATAAATCAAATAAATTCCACAATTTGAAATTTCACGGTTGGCATTCCATGAACTCCTTCAAAATGCTATAAAACGACCAAAAAATGGTCGTTTGCATTTTTGTATTCATTATTTTTTTCTTCTCTCTTTCTTATTGGCTGGTTTCATCGGTATCCGTTACATGAAAAAAAATCCATGGATTATATTGTCGATTAAACCGCCAGATGATTGTTTGCTTGACTTTTTTATAACGTTTTTTTTTCTTCTTATTATTCTCTCTTTCTTCCTTAATTTCAATTGTTCAGGAATTTATTCATCTGTTTTTGTTAGTCAGGTCTATTTATTATTAAAATTTTATTACATTTAAAAAAAAACAAAAGAAGATTCAAATGATTTTCCGTCAATGAGCTTGCATTGGATTTCGGATTTGGATTTAGTTTTTAACGATTACATTTTTTTTTCTTTGTACGCAGACTTTTCCCAGTTAGTCTCAGATTTTAGTTTTCTTTTCTGTTTCTTCTATTAAAGTTAATAGTTTTACAAGACTTAATTACGCCCAAAAATTGCCTAATCGAAATGGTGAAACAAATGGTTAACAAACATATCATGCAAATGATGATTTTTTTTTTCTCTTCTTCTTGGATAAATGTTGGACTATTCGGAGGTGAACCGCTCACACAAAAATACATGGTGTCCAAATTAAATGAGCTAAATACACATTTTGCACGAAACTGATTTTGATATAGATTGCGTAAATTATATAATATTGAGATTGTTCAGTGATGCTCGCGAGTGCAATTTAGTTGTGAATCCATGATTTAAAAAAACGGTGGCGACTTTGCGATTGGTTGATCTTGTTTCTTTAGTTTTGTTTTGTTGTAAAAAATTTGAGTGGCGTGAAATGAAACCGAGACAATCCATCTCGAGGTATTTGATTCTAGCCTAAAATTCTTATTTATTTTCCACTCTTATCTTAAGTTAAGAGGTATGTAAATAATCGGTATGTATAAATGGTTTTTTTTCAAGCTTGTTGATGTTGTTGGTTTCAAAGAAAAGAAAAATTGAAGAAAATTAATGAAGTGTAATGAATTATACGTATACCGAACTAAAGCTTAAAAAACTAAATATTTAAACTATTTTGTTGTTTTTTTTTGTTGTTGTTGTTGATTGTTAAATGTAATTCGGTTGAATTTCGCTGGATTTGCTGCATTCTTTTACTGTTGAGGTGTGTGCTCTTCTTTCTTTTACTGTTGCTGGATTTTTTTTCTCGCGATAGTAACAATCGATTCTTTTTTTGAATATTTGCTTTTGAACTGATTTTTTTTCTCTCTCTTTACTTTATCATTTCAATTGTTTTTTTTTTTGCATTTTCTGTTGTTGTTGTTGCTGTTGTTTTATCTTAATATAATTACAACTAAATTAAATCATGTTAAATTTTGTTTAAATAGGCCATACAACTGCCTAATTATCCATATCCACTTATGATTTTTTTACCACAAACAAAAATCATATCGCATCTAGTCTAAAGGCTATTTCTAATCAGTGTAAACGATATATTGTTGATTACTATCGAAATCGACCGGCATTTCCATTTTAACAAACGATTGAGGAGCCATGGTTGGTGTGTTGCGATTGTTGCCGCTGGTGTTTCGCCTGAAAAACAATTTTCGATATAAGTACGGTTCGCACGAGTTGCTGCAGCCTTGTCTTTTATTTTTCTCATATGGAGCAAAACGATATGCGGTGTACTTACTTGGCGCGAGCATGGGTTAGAATGTGTGACTTAAGATTTGTTGATTGGGCAAATTTCTTGTTACAGCCATCAAATGGACACACGTACGGTCGGTCGCCAGTATGTATTCTCACATGTGTTCTGTGAAAAGCGATGCAACAGGAAGAAAAACAAAAATTGAAATACGTTCTTGGGCCAACACTACCGCTGCATGCGGTCATTGTCCGTGCAAAATGGAAAATGAACAACTTACCGCAAATTGAAATCCAATGAAAAGCGTTTACCGCAACCATCGAATGTGCACTGAAATGGTTTTTCTCCCGTGTGTACGAGCTGATGTCTCTTCAATTTTGAGCTTTCAACGAAGGCTTTGCCACACTCGGCACACACATGCACACGCGGTCCATGCGTATGCAAATGCTTACGCATCGCTGAGTTATCACGGAACATTTTATGGCAATCTTTATGCGGGCATCCTACTCGTCATAAAGAACAAAAGAAAAAAAAATATTATCAGTAAAATGCGTAACGAAAATCGATTTAAATCGTTTTGTTTGTTTATTTTTTTTCTATTCAAGAAATGATCGAATTGGCTCACCTATTGTGCGGTCATGTGATTGTTCGATATTGGTGCTGTTTGGTCGTTTTGTTTTTGTTTTGTGACCTGGTCGCGCAAAATCGGCTAATTGCTTGGGATCAGACAAATCGAGACCGGTTACACTGTCTTGTGTAATTTTTTGACCTGTCATATACTCTGTATAGTCTGGATCTGGTTCTGGATTCGATCCATCCTCTTCGTCTGATGCACCTGACGCCCACATTGTAACGCTAAATTCACCCTCCATTGTTTTGATTTGAACTTGCTTTTGCTCCCATCGACGTGGTTTAATCACTGGCTTATGCTCTATGCTATCGATAGCAATCAAATCGTCCGGATTGGTCGTTCGAACACGATTAACCACCCTTTGTTGTTTGACGGCTGTCTTTCGTTTTCTATTTGGTAGCAAATCACTAAAATTCAAATGTAGAAGAGAGAAACAACGCGAAAATTTCAAGATTGGCAACAAATTTCATGAACATTTGATCGGAATAAAGGTAGAAAAATAAATGCTTAGTCTCTTACGATAAATACCTAGACGGCCCAGGGGATGATTCAATAAAGATTTCATTGCCCAATGCCGACACGTCTCCGTAAACACACAATGGATCACCAGATGCATCCAGCACTTCTTCATGTACAGGTAAATCCGATTCGGAATGTAGAATCACTTCTTCTAATCGGACCATTGTGACATGAAATTGAAAATAAACACAAAAAACCACATTAATAAAAGCAAAAATACACGGGAAAGAAATAGAAAAGGTGGCCGTGATTCATTCATACCATCGTCAATGTTTTGCAGCAAAAGTCCTTGAGAATCGTCATTTTCGCAGGTAACTTCTTCATATTGATCCTCATCGCCAACTCTGACCTCGTAGTGATCATAAGCCACAACACCCATATCACTGAATGCTTCATTGTCGACGACTTCCACAATACTCGAATCTATCTCGACCTCACACATGATATCGTTGTGGTTCGACATCGTATTTTTTGTATGTTATCAATCTCGGCGTTCCTACAACAACAACGAAAAAATCACCAAAAAAAAACAACAACAACAACCAAATTATTCGAAAATGAAATCATTTTTGTTCAAACAATTATTTGCAATAAATAAAGTCAAAGCGTCTACGAAGGATCCGGCTTTTTTTTGCGCGAAAAAAAAGGTAAAAAAATGAATCGATACAATTAAACGCAAAACTATGTAAAAAAAAACACACACACTTAGGTTTAGCACTGAATTCAAATATTTACAATCGTATAAATAAAAAAAAACTATTTGACATTTTGCCATTTATCGCACAAATTGTCGTTCAAATTAAAGTCAACGAGCATGCGACTGTATTGAGAGCTCGCATCTTATATCCAAACAAAACAAATGCCGAAACGGACGTGGATAAAACAAAGGAAAATATCGGCATCGAATCAAAGCGACACGGCACAGCGACAGATAAATAACAAAAATGTCATATAAACATCTCTGTCCGTATATACACATATATATATTTGTGCACAAATAAAAAAAAAAATAATGCAGAATTTGAAACACACGCTTAAATTTAGAAATAAATCGCTTACTTCCAAATGAAAATTGCTTTCAATTTCTATTGTTATTATTATTGTTATTTTCTGTCAACTTACAAACAATGGACTCGTTACGGCGTATGTTATGTTGATTTTGAATGCTTCAATTTCTGTGCTTCGCTCCGAATTTTTTTTTTCTGTTAATGCCGTATATCTCTTTGCACTCGGAATATAATATGGAAATGGTTATAATGGCCACAGCCACGCATAAATCGTAGGCAATCGATAAATTTGAAACACCATCAAATTAATCGCAATAAATTTTATGGGCAAAATTGAATTTGAAACGTTTTCGCGAACAAAAATAATTGATGCGGCAAATGAATTTGTTTTCAAAATTAACGCTAAAATGTTTATAAAATATGTCTGCCGAAAAAAATGGCGTCTGAAATTGAATATTACAAAAAAAAAACCAAAAATGGACGACAAAACACCCGTCACAGTCATACACTGACTTTGTAATAATTTCCGAAAGAAACTAAAATGGAGGACGATCGCGTAAGTAAATTTCCATTCGTTTTACTTGCTATACACGAATGCTTTACGGTTTTGTGTCATGGTATTGGTATTTGGCGCTACGAACACACACACTCATACACATGCACATTTCGAACCGATTCAAATGGCCGATGGATTAGTGTTGCCCGTGCGCACAATTTCGCTCTTACCCGAATTGCGACCGAATGCATTTGACAACACATGGAATTATGTTTGGAGTTTTTTCATCATTTTCTTTTGAAAATAATTCAATTCCAAAACAGCATGAAACAAAAACAAATCAATGATGACAGCCGATTCAAGCAGCATCGGAACTGTTGTAATATTAAATTTACTTATTGACCGAAGTGAGATATTACCGTATGCAATGTGAAGCAAGGCAAATTTGTTGACAGCTGACACTTGCCTTTCGAATGACAGTTAACTTCACGTGGTCGGCGTATATGTATCCAATTTTTAAAAATACACAATCCATGCCTTTGGAACCAGAGAAACACAATTAGCCATGGCAAAAATACTGAGCTATTTTCATTTGTGTCCGATAAATGATGAGGAGGAATTTCTCGGGCTATCACGCGATCAAACCAAAGGCAATGTCATTAATACTTTGGGCAAAAATATCATTATCAATGTTAAGGTACGGTTAATAAAGTCAAAACCATTTATTCTCGTTCAATTCTACTAAGCTTAAACTTTTGCAATCTTGCAGTTGAGCAACCAGAAGCAAATAACAAGTTGGACAGCCTTAGATAAACTCTCGAGCAAAGTCGTTTATGATTTCAATTCAAAGGAATATGTTGGCGTTTTCGGACGTAAATGGATTCGATGCTGGTCAGCCGATTGTTCAGACATCAATAAAATCAAGAAGCTCAAAGTAATTCAGATAATTTGATTGTGTGCGCAATTTGAAGCAAATTTTCATAATGCATTGTATTTTGATTTGCAGCTCTCGAAGCCGGCCAACAGTCTCGTGTCGATTGAGAATGCAGGGACAATTGTTCTGTACACGGATGGAACATGTGAATCATTGGAATATGCCATTGAAACGCGGAAAGAGAAGAAGGATTTGTCGTTGCCACAGTTTAAGCCAATCATTGATCCATCTTCCGTTGATATACTTAGCTCAACATTCTTCAAAGGAGTCAATGATAGCATTTTGTTTACATTCTTTGTGAAATCACGTGACACTCGGGAAATGGATTTAATTTATTACAAATTAGACAATGAAACGTTACGCATTTTGGGGCCAATAAATCGTTTGGAATTGCTGCGCGATGAGAAGAACGTACGATTGTGTGGATTTACGGTGGTTGACAGCAGTAGTTGCCCAAATTTGGTTTCAATTTGTAAGTAGTCGGTTTTATTATCTCCCAAATTTCTATTGCACTTTCTAATGCGGCAAAAATTGAAGTAGAATTTTGAGTATGATTAAAATTGAACGAATCTGATTGTCTCTTTGTCGATCGTAGGGTCTGATCGGCGAATTTTCATGATGGCCTTACGACCAAGCCCGAGCGAGGATGCACCCGGTCACTTTGTCTCCATGTTAACGGCAATAAATGTGGATCATCCGTTGTCTGTGCTGGGCGTGAGTCGTGACTGTATTGCAATTTATGGTGCAAATTCATCACAAGAGGGTGGTGCCCTACTTTTGTACAACACTCAATTCAAAGTGATCGAATCGAAGCAACTGTTCAAAGTATTTTTCACGAATTCACGTCTTTGGACCGTTGACACGTACATCTTTTTGGCGGCCGGACAAAAGTTGGCGGTCATTTCATTTCGAATATCAAAAGAACAATTGTCTGATATGTTGGGATCACAGCGAAGCATGAATCTAACCTCATTTGTCGACACGGAGTGCATCAATACGGATGCCGAGCTGGAAGAAGTGTTGGAATTCGACAAAACTACCTCAACACAACCGATCAACGATGGTACAAACGGTCATTCGGATTATGATATGGCTGAAATATGTGACATAAATATGGATACGAAGCAACGTGCATTTGAGCGTTCAGAAGATTTATTAGCTGACTTGAGATCATTACAGCAGAACGACATTCTGATCGATATAAAATTGGACGAGGATTTGCTTGCCGACATGGCCGAATTGAAATTGTCTTCCAACATAAATAGCACACATTTCGATAGCAAAACCATACAGTCAATCGTCAGTGAATTGGAGAGAATTGGCGAAAGTGAGATTGCAATCAGCAATATTATTATACCGATGTGTATCGAATCGAATCTACCCGAAGATTTAGTGGTATGCATTCGAAACTATTCAAACATTTCGGAGAAAATGCTAGCCATATCGATAAAGTATTTCATTGATAAAATACGAACGGAAGAGCCAGACTCAGTGGAACTATTAAATAAATACAAATCGCAGTTGAATGCAATTCTATCGTGTTCGTTTGAGCCAGATGTAATGGTTGAACAGTTGCGAGCCTATCTGAATTTTGACCAAGTGCAAATTCTATTGAATCACATTTTTAATGCCGTCAATTCGGAAGAAAAACAACTCGAAGAGCGTCCACAAAACGGTGAACCAATTGATGAAGACATTCTATTGGTGAAATGGTTTACGGTTGTGGTTGATTCGCATTTCCATCAATTCATTTTGTCACGCGATACCAAACTAGTCGAACAATTGACACAGTGGAAAGAAACGGTGGACAACTTGCTGGTCGACATTCAACAATCGAAAACCATTTCGGCAATGCTCTACAATTTGGTTGATAGCAAACTGATGGCCAAAGAGAATGTTGCCACCAAATGGTATTCAGTAGAAGAGGTTAAATTATATTAAGCATTTTGAGAAAGAAAGAAAGAAAAAGGGGGAAAAAAATAACGGAAAAAATGAATAAATATTGATATCGATGATTCATAAGACAAAAAAAGATGGCCTTTTTATTTTAAATCAGAGCAATCATGTTTCAGCACAGTATCTCGCAATGGACGAGTAATACGAAAATGTACGAAAGTACTTTATTGAATGCAATATTTGAAACGGAAGAGATAAGCGTCAGCTCCATTACATTGGAAGAAAGGAAAAAAACAAAAAAAAAGGAAAGAAAAAAAAACTTGTGTGAAGTGCAATAAACGAATTAATTAATGGCAATAAAATGTTTCGGATAAAGCACACACCGTAAGCAGATCGAACGTACGACCGACCGACCGACCGACCGACCGACCGACTGACCAAACAAATAAACAAAGGTACAACTTGACATCCACTTGATGTGATTTTGCGAATGTATTATGTTTTTTTTTTGCGCTTTCTGTTACTTCCTCAGCCACATACAATACACAGACACACTCCATACATTGTTATTCTGACTGTGTCACTTCGCCATAGATATGGTGCAAATATTATGTGTGTGTGAAGTGATGCGATAAATATAATTGTCGGGGAATCACACTGGGAAATTCTGCCCATGGAATAAAGCAAGTGGCAATATTTGTTTCACTTTCAGTTGATTAGAATGTTTACATTCGAGCGCATCGAAAGTTAACCACGAAATTGAAAGATTTTCAGTTGCAATTCTACAACTATAGAAGAAATCACGTTTTTAGCGACGAAGTTCGACGCATTTCATCCGACCGAAGGGGGACTTTTTGTTTTTAAACCAAAACATTCATGCATTACACAATATTATTGGGTGGAAATTAAAGCGCGAGTTTTCAAAACGTTGGAGAGAGAATTGGAATTGTTTGAATTATTTCTTTGAACTCAGTATTTGTTTTGCCTCATTTTTATTTGAAGTATATTTTTTTTAAAATTGCCGAAATGTCCGTGTTTCATAATATGGAGCCATATTATCATGAATTTCACTGTGAGTATGCAAACATTTTTATTTTTATTCGCTCATCATTTCAATATTTATTAGTTGAGATAAATTTTTTATTCACATTTTTAATTGTTCAATTAAAAAAGTACGTTTTTATTGAATGGTTGATTATATATTCAAAAAATACCCTCAACGTAATGTCATACATATTACTTTAAATGGATGATCGTTTTGAAACACAAACACAATTAACGAATTAATTTTGGTTGCACTTAAAAAAAAAATGAATAAAAAAATAATTCGAATGTTGTTGGGAAAGTACAGAATGTGAGACGATGATAGAGAGAGACGGCGAGCAAAAAAAAACCAAAGTTCTTGTTAAACAAGTTCTCAACGTACTGAATTTATAAATGATTCATATTCACGTTACGTGGTAAAACATGTTACTTTCGGTTGTTTATATTTTTTCGCCAACTTCTCTTTCTTGCTTTGTTATTGTTGTTCTCGCACTCGGCTGTGTGCAGTCATATACACGGAAACAACGGCGTTGAATCCGATGTACATACATAATAAACGCATACGATTTTAGAGTTGTGTGAGATTCACGTGGTTATCGGTCGTACACAAAGGCTTAGACAGCCAATAGTTTTCGATGTGTTCATCAGTTTGCATTGCAGTAGCGGCATCCTCCGATAACACAACGGTTATTCAGAGACAAAAAGTACATCCTATACGGTTTACAAACAAAAGCACTAATTTAAGTTGCCGCCAAGTATTTGGACAATACGATTTGGGCAAAATAAAATTTTTGGTGCGACGAAAAGTGTAAGTTGAAGTTATTCTAATCGTAAATTTCTTATCATCGATTCGTAATTGAGTTGATTGTTGTGTGTACGAAATATGTACACCGAATTTTTACAAATAATTTCGTATTATTGTCATGTCTCCGTATTTTCCGCATTGTGACAGTTTCTTCTTTAATCGGAACAATCGACGGAATTAGTGCGAGATTCGAATGATAATTTTTTTTTTCTTCGCCATTTCGAATTGTATCTGTATTTGAAAGTCAGAATTTTTTTTTGATGGGCAAGGTCACATCAGTCATCACCAACATATTTATATATTCACGCTCAACACACAGACTATCTTAATTGCAATGACGAACTAAAAGCTTTTCTGACTGATATTGATCATTCGGTGCTGTAGCCGAACGAAGCACAACAACAACGAGCAACGAAAAAAAAAAATCATGACAAAACAGATCGCGCTTCTGGTTTTTGGAAGGCTTTGCATGCCGCGCAATTATTATTTCTCTCTCCGTCTCTTGCAAATTTTTGTCGCTGCGCTGTGATGAACAATCAACAATATTTGATTCAATGTTTGCACACGAAATTATTCCAGTGACTCATTGGAATGATGATGATCTTTGCATTTTTCGGTGAAAATAATCAAGTGTTTCTTATCGTGTGTTTATAAAATCAGCAATTTAACATGGTTCATTAAAATGATCCAATTCTACCCATCTAACAATTATCAACCCAAATAAATCCGAATCTAGCCTTTTATGTTGAATTTATGCGATGTTCAAGCGAAAACCCCAATATCAATATTCAAAAAGACGAATTTCAGTGAATTGATTCAATTGTTTTGATTAATTGAATGGGCAAGCGGAATAATGAAACGTAATTCTGTTTTTAAATGAAGTGCCTCTGAGAAAATTTTGCAGTAAAAAAGCCCCACAAAAATATTGTCTGATAAAAATTTGTATGAAAATCTTATT